AGTAGTCTGCTTGAGCAGAGATCTCATTTAGATTGCAAAAGCGTAATAAAACATGAGAAATTACAACCACAATGGAAATTTAGATTTCTCAAGATTAGGAGAGTGTAGGGATGTCTGGGTGGCTCAGTTGGTTAAGCACCGGGCTCTTGATCTCAGCTCAGGTCTCCATCTCAGAGTCATGAGTTCAAGCCCCATGTTGGAGCCTCGTTAAAAAAGAAAAAAAAAAAAGAAGAAGAAAGTATGTTTCATGTGCCACAGACTTGCATGGTTGAAGAAAAATTTTGAGCTTCTTTTTTTTTAAGATTTTATTTATTTGACAGAGAGAGGCACAGCAAGAGGGAACACAAGCAGGGGGAGTGGGAGAGGGAGAAGCAGGCTTCCCACCGAGCAGGGAGCCCGATGTGGGGCTCGATCCCAGGACCCTGGGATCATGACCTGAGCCAAAGGCAGACGCCCAACAACTGAGGCACCAGGCGCCCCAAATTTTGAGCTTCTAAAGATGCATTGTTTGCCAAAGGCTACACTCCTATATTTGCTGTAGCAGGAAAATATGCATAAATATAATATTAAATAAAAAGTGATATATTAAAATATGTATATACAATAAATACTATGTAAAATAAAACTACATTTTACTTCAATAAATCCTCTTTGAGTGCCTTCTATTGCATGGACCATGCCCACCCTCCACCCCCCGCCTAGTGGTTGTTTGTCTTTGTTTTTCATTTTCCGTGACGTTGACGCTGTAAGCCTTGACACACAGGTGTTGTGGGTGGAGATGGACTGGCTACACCAGCATGGCAAACGGACTCTCGCTATGATCTCCACAGTCCCTCCCTCTTGATGTCCATGCCCCTGTGTGATCGGTTCCCTTGAGCGTCTGGCAAGACCTGTGTTTTTTCCTCTAACAGAATATGGCAAGACAGCAGGAGGCGTGTGCTGATGTGTGCATGATGATGTGAGTAAGTTGCATGACATAGTAGCACCCACTTGTTTGCTGGGACCTGCCCTAATCCCACCCCCACCCGCATCTCTCTCTCCCCACCTCCCCTTTCCTGGCTTTGAGGAAGCAAGGGGCCAGTGGTGGCCTATTCATGTTGGTGGCCCACAGGGCCAGCAACCATGGCTTGCCCTTCACCGACAGACAGCAAGAAACTGATGTCCTCATCCTGTAGCAACAAAGAACAGAGTTCCGTCAACAACTTGAGTGTGCTTGAAAGTGCTTCCTACTGCAGTCAACCTCAGATGAGATCATCACCTCAGCTAACACCTTCATTGCCACTTAGTGAGATCCAAAGCAGAAGACCCAGCTGAGTCGCGTTCAAACTCTTGACCCACAGTAACTATGGGTTATGTGTTGTTTTAAGCTGCTAAGTTTGGGGTAATGTGTTATGCAGCAGTAAAAAAACAGTACAGCCAGGCTTCCTAGGACTATAGCACTCAGCACAGCCCGTCTAGAAACTAGGAATTTTGTCAGGGAAGGTAAAGTTCATCATAAACCACAAAACGCTCTTTGCAGATGTATTTTGAGGTGCCAGTAGGGGCTTTGCCTTTATAGTGAAATAACTAGTGGGATCCATTGTGGTGCCCAGATTGAGGTGCCAAAACAGTCTGATTAGGAAAAGTGGAGGTTGCTCGTTGAGTCTGGAATTGGAGCCACGGGAGAAGAATATCCGGGGAGAACTCATCCAGGCTGTCAGGGCATGGAAATGTGTCCCTGACCCCCAACAGAACATATGTCACTAGGGGCTGATGCTGTTCCTCCCAGACTCGGATGCATCCTCCCCAGCACCGAGCTGCCCAGACCCTGGCAGAGCCTACCTCTAGCTTCTGATTTTGTGCTGTTTCTTTCTGGGCTTGGGTTGGTCTCTCACACTTGTGTCCACTTTTTATATTGTGAACATTTTAGAGTGTTATTACATTTTAAATTTTCAAATTTAAATGCATACATTTGGGGACACCTGGGTGGCTCAGTCGCTTAAGCGTCTGCCTTCTGCTCAAGTCATGATCCCAGGGTCCTGGGATCGAGTCCCGCATCTGGTTCTCTGCTCAGTGGGAAGCCTGCTTCTCCCTCTCCCACTCCCCCTGCTTGTGCTCTGTCAAATAAATAAATAAAATCTTAAAAAAAATAAATGCGTACATTTAGAAATTTCATTCACTAATTGCTAGTTAGATTAGAATCCTTCATAGAGAGGAACAGTACCTTTTTTCTGAATTTTATATTTACATTCCTTCCTAGTTTTCTTTTGAGTTCCTTTTTGCTTCTTGATGTGGTGATATATATGTGTGTGTGTATATATATATATATATATATATATATATATATATATATATATATATCATATATCTCCCCTATTTGCTCAAAGTACTTCTCCCAGTTTCACAAAAGTCCTTAAGTTTTGGATGATTTTATTACAAAGTTTAATTTTAACATATATATATAAGTAATTTATTTTATTTTTGGTTGTAAGAAGGACTTTCTTGTCCCCAGGATATAAACATAATCTATATTTTCTTCTGAATTTTAAAATAATTTTATTTCCTACTCTTAGAGTCATTAATACATTTGGAATTCATTTTTGTTAATTGTATGAAATGAAACAGTATTATTGTTTTTGGAGAATTGAGCTCCTTAAAACAATACAGTTGAGAAGTTCACTAACTTCCTACTGATCAAAAAACACTAATTCAGCCCTCTTTTTCACCCTCTATACCCTCCCCCTAAGGCATACCATCTCTTTCCAAGATGGCCATATTCTAATGCACATTGACAAGGCTCAAATATTCCTCTAGCCCCCAGCAGACACTCTATTCCTTTCAGTTGCTCGAACTAAAAACCCTGCTCTATCCTGGGCTCATCTCTTCATCTCACACCTCACAACCAATTTAAGAGCAAAGCTCTGAAAATATGTACAAAATCTGACCATTTCTCCATTGTGACTGCTCTAGGCCACCATTATCTCTCATCTGGACTCTTCTAGAACCCTCTTCCCAGTCTGTGCACCCCCTCTCTTACTCTGCAGTCTCATCTCAGCCAGCAGAATAATAACACCTAAAAGTGAGTCGGGTCCTGTCATTTCTTTGCCCCAGAGCCTCCCCTGCTCCACAACCCATTCTGGAGCCTGGGACAAATGCGCCCTGCCTGGGATCCCCTCCCCTCTTTCGCTGGTACGCCTCTGTCTGTCATTGAATTCACATCTTTGCTCAGTTGTCAGCTTCTCATAAGACCTCAGATGAAACTCTGGCCCCATTTTAATCCACCCGCCCTGTTCGATCTATATTTGCGTCATGCCATTTACCATCTCTTTCACCTAGTAGTTACTTTCTATTATGTTTATTGTTTATCACCACCCAGAATAAAAGCTCCACAAGAATAGGAATTTTGTCTGTTACTGATACATCCCAAATATTAGAAGAGTGCCTAATAACCAATATCAGTTGGCCAGTGTTTTTTGAGCGAATTATTGAGTAGCCTGAACATTTCCTTCACATCGTATAGTCATTTCACATTCTATGTGAAATTCCATGTATTCTGCCCAAAGTGTGTTCACTCTTCCAAGCCAGATGGCTAAGAATCCATCTTCTCCAGCAACCCCTTTCCTTCATTCGGACTCTCTCCTATGCCCACAACCATGCAATCTGTTGCCAACTCCTGCTCCTTAATTTCTGCTCTCCCTCTGCCTACTTAGCAGTCACTGTTAGTGACCTAGGTCAAACTCACATTTTTAACGTCTGCAGGTGTCTTCACATTCTCCCATGTCTCCAAGCCTCCAGTCTATCCCTCTGTGATTCCTCCCTCACGTGACAGCCAGAGCTCTCAAACCCACACTTGTCTCTTCCCTACTTAATATCTTTCCGTGGCTCTCCGTTGTGTTTAGCACAGTGTCCATACTGCACCTGGTTTGTGAGCACGCCCACGATCTCTCCACGATCCGCCCATGATCTGCCTACGATCCGCCCCATGACCTGCCCCACGATCTGCCCACGATCTGCCCCCACGATCTGCCCACAATCTGCCCCATGGCCTGCCCCACGATCTGCCCCACGATCTGCCCATGATCTGCCCACGATCTGCCCCACGATCCACCCCATGACCTGCCCCATGATCTGCCCATGATCTGCCCCACGATCTGCCCCACGATCTGCCCCATGATCTGCCCATGATCTGCCCCATGACCTGCCCCACGATCTGCCCCATGATCTGCCCCACAATCTGTCCATTCTTCTCCCCAGCCATGCCTGGAAGTATCCCGGTATCTCCTTGGAAGTTAACCCAATAGACCTGTTCTGTCTTCCAGACCTATCTATGCACATGCTCTGCCTTCAGCCTGCAATGCCCCTTTCCACTTGGTGCTCCAAACACACTAAGACTGAATTCAAGTTCTGAGTCTTAAATAAGATGACCTGCTTTGCTTCCATTCCCCTGGCATTTGGCATTTGCGTTGGACTCATTGGCTTACTTACCAATCTCCCCATGCAATTAATTTTCCCGAAGAGGAATTGCCCTTTGCCTCTGAATGTCTGGTACAAAACACAATACAGGGTATAAGGTCATCACGAGAGAAATGTTAAATTATCATGTAAAGAGCAGTAGACAGAGTCTTATCTCTTCTCCTTGCCCCCCTCTGTAAGATGGCGATCTTGGGTCATGGGATGCCTTAAAAAGTTGAAACAGCATGGATATCTGGAGTCAGACATACCTGTAGTAGACCTCTAACTCTGGTGGCTTGCTATAGTGAGAGAGAGGTGACCACAGACTTTGGAGCCATGAAGCTTTAAATCCCAAATCTACCTTTACTAACGGGGTGGGCTTGGGCAAGTTTCTTAATGTCTTTCTGCAGAAAGACATCTCTTTTGATACGAGTTTAACAGTAATTCCTGTATCATATACTTATTTCAACAATTTATTTTTATTTTATCAACCAGTTTAAGATTGCTTATTTTTCCAATTGGACCTCTTCCAAGGTATCCACAAAACAGGAGGTAGATGTATTCAGGGAGTCATGCTTGCCTCTTTTTTTCCCACTAGGAAGTGCTAAAGAATATGTCACAGCTCACTCACAGACCTCCTATTGGTTACAGGGCAGAAGTCTGCTGATGTATCTGCTGTTTCTCCCTCTCTCCCGTGTTCTCAGGTCCAAGAGGCTTCCTGCCCTGCCTGTCCTCTCCGGGAGAGATGTGAACGTGGAGGTACAGATTAAAAGAAAAAATGAAATGTAACCTTTGGCTCCCTAATTGGACATTTCTGGCTCATCCTGTAGAGATCAGGACTATAATAGGGAGAAGAACCTGTCCTTCCCACTCGAGGCCCTCTTACTTCTTGAGAAGTCATCCCTTGAAGTCAAAACACTGTTGTGAGTTCAGGCATCAACACTTGCAGCCATTAAGTGGTGCTGCTGGCCCTATACAATCAGCCCGGTTCCAGAAACCTTCTCACAGGTGCTTCATCTCTCCGCATAACATCACTCCTACAAGCCATTCCTCCTCCAAACCCAGCTGAAAGTACAAAATGCACAGTAGGGTCGACAAAGTGATGAGAGCAAGTCTGCACAGACACACCGGGGAGTGGCAAGCAGAAGCCCGGTGGCTCGCTCCAAGCCTGGAGGGACACTGGCCAAGAGCTTCCCTTTTCTGGAATGAGGAGTGACAACTGGGGTCTGTCAGACTGAGGATTGACCTACCCATCTGTGAGGGGCTAAATTGGTAGGGAAAAGGGAGGGGCCGGAGCACCACCTCTCCCGGGAAAAGATTAAAACAGGTCGGTGGGGGGAAGTGACAGCAAGCACGGGACACGTGGGTGCCCTCAGGGCTCATCAGTCAGGGACAATTACCAAAGATTTCATCAAATGGTATCAGAAGCTCCTCCAAGCACTCACTGAGGAACAAAGCGGTGCGGAGTGAGGGTTCCTAGGCGACAAGAGAAGGGGAACTACTTCTTGGGGCCAAATAAAAGCAGGCTAAGACTTGAGAGAATCTGTTCCTCCCCCCAGAGATGCCAGAGAGTGGGCTGTACTGGCCTATTCCCAAGGGAAAAGCCAGAGGCAGGGCCCTGACTGCCCTGCACCTGACACAGAGAGGATTGTTCCAGAGGTTTGGTCCCACCCAGTTTCATTCTGCTGTTTCCACTGGATACCTTGGTCCTTCACCTTCTTCTAGATTGTAGATTGGGACCCACAGGGTGCATATGCAAAGCTCTAGCCTTAGATCTGGGGGATGTTTGCTTTCGAGAATTGTAAGACACCGAGGCTCTTCCCAATACTGAGGTCCAGATCAGAGGACAGGGGACGCGGGCTATTTCTTGTGGGCATGATGCCTTCGGGAATGCCCTTTCTCCCGATTCTTTGGGGTTTTTGATTTTGCACCAATGGAAAATGAAGAGGCTGATGTTCTGAAAAGTCCTCTCCCAGCACAACCCCGGGCAGGTGGAGAGGGCATCCCACAGCCGAGGCTGCTGCTTGTTAGTACTGGCCCAGGGACAGGGGTGCTCTGAGCAAAGGGGCCCATGCAGGGGCCCCCAAACATAGTTTTTCTTGCAGAAACGCTGGCCTTCCCCAAGACAAAAGGTGAGCTCTGGTTGGTCAGGCCTTGGGTGTTCTGGCTCCAGGCTTTTCCAAAGGGTGTGATGGTGCCCGTGGTCTGGCTTGGCACTGGCCCAATGCTGGATGCTCCAGAGTTGGAGCTCATGTCTGGGGCAGTGGCACTGATCCCAGACTCCCCACAGTCCATGGGGGTCACTAATCCCCCAAAGGCAAAAGGTCGTGGGGCTGTGCTGCCAAACACTGAGCCACAAGCTCCATTCCCATGGGTCTGGGCCACAACCCCAAAACCAGTTGTACTAGCTTGACCAAAGGGGAACCCCGCTGGAGTGCTGCCCAAATTCGGCAAGATGACAGCAGGGAGGCGACAGGTGGAGGCTGAGGGTGTCAAACCCCCGGAGTGTGACTGCATGGTACTGCTGAAGGCTGGCTGAGCTGGAGTGGGGGTTGGGGTGGGGGGTGCCACGGCTGAGTTTCCAAAAATGAAAGGCCTACTGAAGCTTGGGCCAAGGGTTGTTTGGGGGGCCCCTTGCTTCTGCCCACCTGTAGCCCCCAATGCTGGCTGGAGAGTGGCTCCTGGGGAGAGCGGGAAGGGTGGCCTCGAGCCTGACCCCCAGGGAACTGCGAATGTTGAGGTCAGACTGGATATGCTGGATGATAGTGAGGGCTGGTGTGTGGTGACCGGGGCTGAAGCCGACAGAGGACTGCCCACACCCCTGAAATTGGCAGTGCTTTTACTAGGGGATATCGGGACAGCACTGGAAAGAACCTGGCTAAAGATGGTGACCGTGTGCACGGTCGGAATGGTAGCACGCTGGTGTAGTGGGAAAATGAAGCTTGTGGCTGGGGCGAAGCTGGCCCTGAAGGTACAGGCAGCCCCGAGGACGAAGGTGTGGCAGGTCGACGGGATGGAGTAAGTGTTGTCCGTGGTACTGGCGACATTCACTACGCCAAAGTCCAAAGGTGGCATGAAGGAAGAGCCTTTGGACGTGCTGGCTGGGGTGGTGGGTACGACGACAGAGGTAGCTTTGACCAGGCCATGGAGGAGATGGGTAGAAGCGGGAGTAGCTAGAGGAGAGGTCGGCTTGAAAGAGAAAGGCGCTAACATGGGCATGGTTTTAAGTGGTCCTATGCCGCCGAAGATAGGCTTGAAGGTGGGAGTCAACATGCTTGGAGTTGAAGATGCTGTAGTGGTGACCGAAGTTCTGGAGTATAAGGAGCCTCCAATCTCACTCTTGGGTGGGAGCCCCAAAATGCGGTTTGACGTGGGGTCCGCAGAAGCTGCGACAGGAGGTACAGATGCAGGAAGATGGGCAGCTGGGCTGCCCATTCCAGACAGAGGACTCTGCGCAGTGAGCCCGGCAGGGCTGAGGGCAGGCAGCCCCGGGGGCATGGTAGTCCTGTCAGCCTGAGAGCCTGAAGGGGGCCGTGTGGTGTCAGTGGCCCGTGACGTGGGAGAAACAGGGGTCAGAAGGCTGAAAGCTGCCGTGGGCCTTGAGTCTGAAGAGGTGCCTGGAAGGCGCTCTGACTGTGAGCAGCTGAGGGAGGACAGCAGGCCACGCTCCTTCCCAGCAGAATGGGAATAATCTCCCTCTTCAGGAGATGGTGGGAGGCCCAGGGGAGACCCCTGCACTTTTGTTAAGCTTTCCAGCTGTGGATTTGTGCCCTGGGTTGGAGCTGGGCCTGCGGAAAGCAGGGTAAGAGACAGGGAAGGCTGAAGAGCAGAGCACGTCTCAGAGACAGAGTCTCTGGTGACCTCAGTTGTCTCCTCTCTGGCTCTGTCGCCACCCTGCAGTCCACCTTTCTCCCCTAAGGCCAGGTCCTCTTCAGGGTCTGCATCACCAAGCTGGGGAGGTGGGCTCAGTGACAGCCGGTCCCCGGGACTAGAGAGGGGCGGTGGAATCTCCTGACTTTGCTGCCCAGAGCTGCCAGACGATGCTGGGGACTCGTCTGATTCCAGCGGGACTGGGGGGGAGTGAGGCTGATGACCCTTTTCTTTCCTTTTTACTGGCCACTCTGGTGTCTGCAGGTATGCACTGGGAACGCTTCTCTTGCAGGGCTCAGAGAAAGCTCTAGAAGAGCTGTAAGAACTTGTGATAGCATTTCTTCTGGAGCCGAGCGGGCTACCTGTGTGTGTGCTGGCCGAGGAGCTCACGGAGGAGCAACTGGGCCTCTTATTCGAGCTGCGATCGGAGCTCCAGGACTCGAGGCTTCTCTTCAGAGGCCCAGGCCTGGGCACGAAAGAAGTGAGAACTCCGTTTTTCACCAGGGGCTTAAACGCGGATGGTCGGGTGTCTGGACTCCCTCTCTGGCTGTGCGAGCCGTCGGGAACCAGTGGTTCTTCAAACCTCACTCTCCCTTTCTTGCACTGTCTGAGGGCCCTCAGCACCGTCTCCTTTGCACACGGGTCTGGGGGCTTCTCAGAGAGCGAAGACCCTGCGGAGGCCATCACCTCTGCGGGGGAAGTGGAGGGAAGCGCTCTCCGCTCAGGAGGGGCTATCCGGACGGTCACCGGGCTCCCCACCGCCCGGGGGTGCCGAAGAGACCAAATAGTCCGCTTGAGGTAACTGTCCCACCAGTCTGAGGGAAGAGGCCCCACGATGGAATTCTGGGACCCCTCCATGGGAAAGCGCCTCCAAGCCCCATGGGCCGCCCACGCGGTGGGACTGGCCGGCTCCCAGTTTGGCTGCCTCCTCGCAGGTCTGCGGCGCAGGGCGGGGTGGGCGCGAGGGACGTGCGGGAGCCGGTGGACCCGATGAAGGGGCTGAGCTGGCCGGCGGTTCGGCGGCCTCTCCGTCGAGTCCGTGCGCGTCTGCGCTGGGGACGACGGCGGGGACCCCGGCTTGCCCAGGTAACTGCCCATGCGGAGCGAGGAGGCGGGTCGGTTCCCGAGGTTTCTGACTACTGACCCAGCCGGAGTCGGAGTGCGCGGTGTTCCGCCGACGGTTGGGATCCTGGCGCGAGGAAAGTGCGAGGGCCTCGGGGCGCTCGGCACCCTCCCTGGCCCGGCACCCACAGGTCGGCGCCCGGTGGGAACAGAGAGCGGCCCTGGCAGCCCCAGCAGCTTGCGGTGCGGTTCTGAGGCTTCGGCGGGGCGCTCGGGGCCGTGCGCTCTCAGGGGCGGCTGCGGCGCGCGCCGGGGAGGGGCCGGGAGGCGGCGCGCGGCCCCCCTCGGCCC